TAATTTTTACACCATTGTGACCACCGTTCTTTTCTCTACGGGTTGACCGGAGTGAAACATCAAATCGCAACTCGCGCCGGAGGAACCGCCGCACCCGAGAGCTTCACTGCTGGTAAGTCTCGGTTTTCTAAAATTTTTTGGCCCACCGAGGGCCTCAGGAGTGTTTTATCACAGAAACCAATGCAAGTTTGGTCGAATTTGGCCGAAAAGCCGAGGTGGATCGCCGCTGTGGGCGGCGATGCCGTCGCCGGAGCACGGCGGAGCCACCATGCCGGAATTTCAAAATTGGTCGGATAGGTCCTGGGTCTGATTTGGGGTTTTTTGGGGACATGCGCAGGTACCGGAAGTGTGTTTCAGTTTTCAGAGAAAAATTCAGAAAATCTAGGGACTACCCGTAGGCGCAGTAAGAACCTGATTTCAGACTCCAAAATAAGTAAGGATCTCTCACTCTATTTCCTATTGTGCATTAAAGCCTAATAAATGATAAAATGGTATGTTATGAATTAATAGATATGTATAATTAAGTAAGGTTGCAAATAGAGCCCGAATCTGATGTATTTTTTAGTCAGGTGTTGTTTGATTTATTTTACAGTTTTGAATGCAGTATGGTGTCTGATGTGTTTATTATATGGTTTCGTATACATGAATCACGATTTCATTTATTATAGTTTGAATTATTGTGAATCTGATGTTGTGTTGCCTTATTTGGTGTCCATTACTGGTTTACGTGTTTATATTTGATTGGATAATTGAGATTAATAAACATGAAAAAAAGTATGTGAATTGATAAATGGATAATATCGACAGCCTAACTAGATATCCTGGGAGATGGTGGACGGACCGGATCCATAGGGAACCCTACCGGGAACGTGGTTTCTCATATCGGACGGGGTATGGAGACTTTATGTGTTTTGGCGTCCATACCGAACGGGGTATAGGGACGGCCCGTTTCACCCTCATACTAGACGGGGTATTGAGGTTTATGGTTTTGGTGCCCATACTGGACGGGGTATGGGGACGACCCTGGAATTAAGTTACTAATGTGAATGGTTCACGTGTAGTGTGGACCCCCTATGGATCCCCATGGATACTAGTAGGCTGATAAAAGAAGAAATTTGTTGCCTGATTATTGAAATACAAAAGTATGATATGTGTTATATTATAGAGTGTGCATGATCTTATGATGTTTATGATATTATTGTTTCTCATAAGTTGTTTTCATGAATCTCACTGAGGTAAGTGGATAGTAAAGGTTTTTATTATTGATAAATGAGTTTGTTATAAATTATGCTCCATTGGTCGTTTTTGTTTTCTACCAACCTTTACTTCTGTGATAGTGAGATAGTGTGATGTCTTTACTGGGCTAGTGTAGCTCATTCCTTACTTAACCATTTCAGATTAGAAAGACTTCTTTCCCGAGCCCGTCCCGCAGGAAGACGGCGAGCAGATGTTTAAAGATTTTATAGTTTTATTTATAACATTCATCTTTAGTATTTACTTTATTTAGTTTATTCTTTAATACGTTTAGTACGTTTGAATTATTGTGAAAGGGATATTAATCAAAAATTTTATTCCGCTTCCGCACTTAGAATTTTTCTCATATATACATTTCCATTTAAATTCCGGGGCCATTACAGATGGTGTCGGTCAGTCGCTTGAGGTTATCTTCGATGATGCAGAATTTGTCGACATCGCGAGCTCCATCTGACTGAAGCTGTCCTACAAACCGCCGAGGCTTGTTTCTAAGTTCTCGATACGTTCTTTATTGGATGCCATTTTGATTTAGCTTTGATACCAATTGATAAGTCCCGATCAGATGCTGCTAATGAGTAAATAAGTTTTTTTCTCTTTTGGAGCGAGGAACACCAAAGATTTAATTTGTAAAATTCAACTCTGTTTTTATTCAAGATGCTGGAGTTATTTAAATACAGAAAAATTCTACCATTACTTTCTAAGATTAAGAAGCTGAATTTAAATATGTGAAAAATAAAATGCATATGCTGATGAAAACGTGGGATGCAGTAGTTGTGCAGAGATCGTGGAGGTACTGAAACTGTTTTGACTGTTTCCCAGCTGCACGTTCTTTTACTGGGCCTACTTGGGTTCCTTCTGATCCTATCAATTGAAGACACCTCTCTTAATTGAAATAAACTCCCTAAGTTTATTGATTAAAACTTAAACGGTTACAAGTAGAAATTGAAGGTCTATTTGTTGAGTAAGGTCATAGATAATATAAGGAAATAAATCTCATAAATTAATTGTAAAAACTAAATCTTGCTTTAATTGAAAAATTAAAAAAAAAATTAACTAATTAGGCTAGATAAAATATTCATTTTTAGAAACTTTTTACCGTAGAAGATTTTAACTTATTGTAGAAAAATTAGGGAGAAAATAAATGGTAGTTTGAGGTTGGTCATAATCTTTCATTTTCAGCCGAGATTTAATTCTTTAAAAGTCTTCCATTTTTTTTGACTTATTACCTCTTTCACTTGGATTGAGATGTAAGTACCATTATATCATTTAATTGTTGGGTTTGTTTTTCTCATGTTTTTGGATTGGATATTCTCTTTAAGGTACGTGTCCATGTTCACATCACTTGTCATATATAGGAAAAATAAATATGATTGTATAAGCTATCATATTGTGATATGATACTTTCATTCTTATGAAATACAATTCCTTCTATGATATGATACTTTTTTCTTCTTAGGATATATTATTCTTTATATGATATGATATTTTTTTTGGGGAGATATGATTCCTTTGGACAGTAATTTAATTCTAAAAAATTAAAAGCATTAATTAAATTATCATTTTTTTTTAATGTGTTGCATTTCAAATCTAGATATACTTTTATTATTAGCAAACTAATGGATGTTCTTTATAAACACTATAATCATCTCCCCATTACATAATATGTTTAAATAAAACAATTAAACTGGTGAAGAGTACAGATCGGTCAGCGATATACTAAGGAACATATGAATGACTTGATTCTTTTTAACTATATTTCTTAGTATTTCGCTGATTCGGTCAGTGCTTAGTACCATATTTACAGCTTCAACATTATTAAAAGTGACATGGTATGAGTTTAGTGTAGGTGACCCCTCTTTCACCTATGTTTCATTATCTTGCTACACATTTTACTCACATGGTAGTCATAATGGTGTGAAAATCTTTCTGAAATGTGTTGTATTTTTTTTTCGAGAGTGTTTTTTTTTTTTTGCAAGTGCATGTAACAAGAAGTAAAAAGAGCATATACACAAATTGGCTACCATGCAAGCTATATTTTACAAATTAACTTTGTTGATCCATGCAATTATTGCATTTTGCAGGCTCCATTAAAGGTGTCAAGAATCAATTATCATGCTTTTGCGTATCTTAGAAGTTGAAATCACCAAGTTGGATTCTACTTGGAAAGAAGAATTTGAAAGTCACCATTTAGGGTAAAACCATTTCACAAGTTCCCACCTCAGTGGTTGAGGTGTCTCGAAGAACAAACTAAAGGAAGCCACGTGGTAGGACAACGGCAAAATATGTTGTTTTTAAATAAATGGGTCTGATCTTGCCACACAATGAATCGCACAGAGAGGAGCAAAGGAGAATGATCTGAACGACCCAAATCTAAACCCACCCATTGGACCATCACGATTAATCAGACTCTGTATAAAAGGGACCTATTTTTTTTTTTTTTAAAAAAAAGAAACCCTGCGAGAGGGACGAATAGGAGAGGAAGAAAGGAGAAGAGAAAGAGTCGTGAGACTTAAAAAGAGAGGAAAAAGGAGATCTGCGCGGCCGAAAAGGAGAGATAGGCAATGTGTGAGCGGCAGAGGGAATATAAATTGATAGGTCCTCTAACATTTGCAAGCACTATCATGATCAAGGTAAGTTCACGATGAGTGTTTCCTTTTTTTGCTTTAACCAAACCGAGTATCTGTCACCTCTCATTTCCAAAGATTTTGTAATGGTGTATGTGCATAGGTTGTGAGTGTGTAGGCTTTGTGGAAGAGTTTTAACGTCGCTATGGAGACATACCAGCACCGTTTGAGATCCCGGGGGTAAGAATGATTTTAAACCCAAATCCCCATATCTATTATTTAGTACATGTTTAATTTCAGACTATGATTTGAATAGATGATATATGTAGTTAATTATAGATTTGTAAATATTATGTTACTAAACTTGATACATGACAACATTTGATTAGATATTTTTTTTTATTAAATATCATAAAACATTTTATGCATAAAAATTAATTTAATTTTTATTATTTATTAATTAAAAAATTAAAAGTAAAAAAAAAAATAAAAAAAAAATGCTTGATATCTAATTCCTCAACCTCTCCCCTAGTCATCATCTATGATTACAAAGTCCAAATCTCCTCCTTAAAGGCATCCATTCCCTTTCTCCATCCCCCTCTCGCCCCCATCCCCTCCCTTTTCTAACACAATTTTATTGTAACTTTAAATGATTTTGATAGTATCAATAATTTAATTGACTTATATGCAATTTGGCAAATAAAATAAAGAAAAAACAATTATATATATATATATATATATGTATGTACTCTTTGTAAATCCACATTCAATAGAATCTTAAATTTATAGAAACTCTAGCACATGGAATTGAGTCTAACTTACAAGCAAAGACATGCAAATGAAGCCAACACAGAGGCTTTGAACATAACTGAGAAAGGAAACCTACCGTTATCTTTTCTTACAAATAATGCTTCATACACCGGCATGTTAACCATAACCATTAGCCCACATAAAACAAATTGAGAGGCTAACTTCTCTAGATTATCAAATTGTGGCCTAAAAATGATGATCTTGAAAGATTTGAGAAAACTAAAAAGGTTAACCATTGCTAATGTTGCTATAATAATGAACATCGACGATGAGCTCTCGAACTCCATGACCTCTTTCTCATACCTTTTCAACACATCCTGAGAAACTGCTTTAGGTGTGAGATCAAATATTGTTTCTGATAGTCCGAATTGTTTGATAATTGTTTCAATGAAAGAGAAAATATATGCAGTAGTCCTTCGAATCACCAAAATCCTCTGTAAATTCCACCAACCTTTTAGGGTAAGCTTACAACTCATGGCCTCCAATAAACTATAAGCATTCTTGGTGATAAAAACATATGCAAAAGGTATGAACCATAAACTTGACACCTGAGACAATTAAGAAACTGTCAATATATAACAATAATAGATTATACTTTTTTATCAAATTATATAAAAAAAAAAAATATTTTGCTTTGCCATTTATGATAGTATTAGAATTAGGTGTCAAATGTTTGAATCTTAACTATTACTTCCATCCCATTTAATCATAAGATACAGTGGACTATTGTTTAATTGACACTATAATCTAACATGTTTGGATGTAAAGATTGTGTAAATCTATATATAAAGAAAAAGAAGATTAATATACATAATTCAAATGATGTTAAAACTGATCGAATTTATTATTTTATATAATTTTTATTACGACTTCTTAGACATAAAATAATTTTTAAACTTTAAACGTGATGTCAATTTCAAGAGAGGTTCAAAAACCTACGAGAATTCGAGTGGCAGAAATTTTTGTAATCAATGAACCCAACAATAAACCAAAGAATTAATAGGTAATAATAGTAATAATAATACAAATGGACGACTTCCAACTTTTGAACATTGCCAACTTGTAAATATATTATCATAATAGTAATAATAATTGGTCCATTAGTTGTTGAAGATTATATATTTTAAGATCAATAAAAAATTAAATGGAGAAAAAGGTTATGAAAAAAAAAAAAAAAAGTGATTACCTTTGGAAACAAGGGAATGCCCTTAAGCAAGCAAAGAGGAGGAACCATGACATAGTAGAATGTAGGTAAAGAAAGAAGAGCCCAAGAGAGATAAACACAATATCCCATTTGAGCACCAAGTTTGATCTTGCCATGTCCAAATATGAAAGGGCAAAACTTTGAGATAAATATCTGAAACATCCCTTGACACCATCTCTTGTGTTGTATAAGACTAAGGTCTAAGGTGTTTGGAGCAAGCCCTAAAAAGGCAGCTTTGTCTGGGAGATAGTAATATGATTTCCAGCCTCTGCACTGGATCGATAAGCCAGTAATCATGTCCTCAACTAGACAACCATACACCAATCCCATCTGCAAAAAAGAAAAAGAGAAGTTTGATCCATAATGATGGAAATATATATATATATATATATATATAAAGGAACATACCTCCTTGCCCCAGGGAGTGCCCTTTTCAAAGCTACAACCAGCAAGAACTTTTGATTCTTCTTCCATTTCCTCAACCGTTTTCTCAACATTCTTTTTGTTTGTCTCCCATAAATACTCTCCTTTTAAATCCTCAGAGAATTTCCTTCCACATAAACTCTCCCTTCGATGAAAACAACCGGTGCCAATGTAGATGGCTGCATCATATCCATCCATGCCAGCAAGTTCAATCTACATAAACAATCATAGATTAAAAGAAATCAGACCCTAAGAAATTATGTATAAGATTTTAACATCCAATCAGTAGTCTATAAATATGAGATTTTGATCTATTTATCGTTTGTCATACGTACCTGTTGAATAACTGTAGCAGAATTGGCATAAAAATCATTCTTAGTGATATTACTAAAGCACTGAGGATACTGCACATAGGCAATCTCATGTCCAGTCTCTTCATCCATGAAGAAACAAAGTGTTTCTTGGATTGTGTCGGGATTATTCGCATGCATGTCACAGTCCAGATTAAGGATGACAGCTCCATTGCTTATTTCTGATGATACTCTTATCTACGCAATTAAAACCATGTCATACAAAGAAAAAACTAGTTTAGTTCCGTTGTAATTCGAGGTTCGTGGTTTTTTATGATGAATCATTATTTTTCTTTTTAATTTTTGTCATATAATTATCTTCTTTAAGCTACTATACAAACACAAAAACATGAATTTACCAACGCATTCATTGCTCCTGCTTTGAAGTTATGAGGAACTGAGGGTCTTTTTTCTCTTGCCATGTATACTAAAGTAGGTAGGCGGCAACCATCATTATCTACAGCATCTGTTTTTCTCCCATCAATGATAATCTGAAAACATAAGCTTGGCAATAGTGAAAATCACCAAATATGGTCAATATTATTTGAGCTTATAAATTATTTTTTGAATTTATCAATCATTTATTATATATACCTGCACTATTGGCTGATGATCATGTTTTGTTATTTTATCGTTCCATTCTAAGAATCCGTTATGTTGATTCCTTATTTCTTTTGAAATACTACCATTAACAATCGCTGACTCGATTCTGTTCTTCATATCTTCATATTGTTTCTTCAAAACAAAAAAGAAAAGCAAATCAATTTGCCATACAAAGCAACGTTATTGAATAATCAGTATTTTCAATTGAACTTACCTTCATTGCTAGCCATTCTTGATCATCATGTTCCTCCATTGCTGGCGATTTGAACTGTCGGGAAAAGTAAGCTTCAGGGCACCTAGGCTCAACATTGAATTTCTTGCAGAAGGGTATCCAAGATCTTGAGAAATGTGAAGCCTCTAAGACTGCATAGAATGTGAATTCGGAGCCACCATCGTCGGAGAGGTAGACACTCAACTTCGTAGTTGGATAGTTGTAGGCCATTGCCGATAAGATAGTGTTAATTGCCAACAATGGTGGCTCTGCTTTCGGGTCTGCAGTGCAGACAAAAATGTCGACTCCTGGTAACTTGTTCTCGTACCTGTCTCATACAAAAACATCTCAATAAATTCGAGTTTCATTTTGTTTAATACATATTTAAATAGATACAACTATAATCATACATCACAATTTAAATAATTATATCCCCGACATGTTATAATTATAAATCTCAATTTAAATATTCACAAAATTCAACATCGTAAATACCCAATCACGGTTTCTATCCCAACATCTCTGGGCCAACAACATCCAAGTACATACGTATATATACACTTGTATATATGTACGCACATTGAAATACCGAAAAAGAAAATAAATAAATATTATTTAAGGAAAAAAAGATCGGAGAACCTTTGAAGAAGCCTGTCCTTGAAAGGATAACGATAAACAACATTCCAACGAACGGCCTGAGTGAAACTCCAGTAGATCCCGAAGCATAATTCAGCCAAGAACATACCAATCCAAGCCAGTCTTCTTCTTCTTCCTCCTCCTCCATCTCCATCTCCATCTCCACCATCAACTCCACCTGATGAAGCCGGCAACTCAACCAATCTGTACACCCATATCAGCAGTATCCCAACACCTATAGTCGCGGCAAATACTTTATAACTCACTCCATTACTTCTCGCCTTTCTTGTCTCGAAAAGGCTAACACCTCCAGCTCCTGATCTTCCAGCTTCTCCACTCTCCATTTGTTGTCTCTGTAGATTCACTCACCACGAGACGTGCATAGATATGCATATATCTCCCAATTATAACATATACATAAGTCAAACACAGGGATATATATCATTAACAGTCCGTTGATTTCCCAAATTTTTAAAAATACTTATCCACAAAATAGATGAACTATTCAGAAAGGATAACAAAACAAATTAAAGGCCATAATGCATGTATATGTTCCACAAAAAAACAAAAGGGTATGCGTCTATACATATATGTATGTATGTGTATATCATATAGCCTCTTTCCCAAACTAGCTTTATTAAATGTGTACTGACTACTCGTGATTCTATACATAGGTAAGCAGATCCAAAGCCAAATTATATTTATTCATTTTAAATGATATTAGGCTTGAACTGGTTCTAGAAGAATTAATTTTTGGCACCAAACGCTAATATTATTTGGAATTTACTCAAATTAATATTTAATTCATTTCAATTTAATTTTTAGCTTGAAATAGTAAGTACTTGTTAGAGTTGTAAACGATTTGGACACGTGCGAAGCCAAAACGGTGCCGTTTAGTGACATCATTACATATAGGCAAGCGGTGTACGTCGATTATTTCAACTAAAAATGATTGTAAATACCAAGAAATGTATTCTCATACGGCTAAACCACTTGGATCATATATAATTACCAGTATGGTAATTTCATTAAGGTAAAAATTTTCTTTTTTTAAACTAAGAGTTTACATATTTATATTTTCATGAAATTATAACTTGATATATTTTAGGTAATATGAAACTCAACTGAATTGATTTAATTAAATCTTATAATAAATTTGAGTCTAAAAATATTTAGTTTCACCGAAATCTTTTTTATAAAATATTTATTTAGTGATTTCGATTTTGATACAGAATCAACTCATACATATAGAAAAATTGTTAGTATAGGTTAATACTTATAACAATAAATATTTTACGATTTGTATAGGTTATTCTGACAACTTATAATTAGTTTTATAAGTTATATGAAGGGAACTAATAACCCTTTCATTTGTAAAGCTCATAGAGAATTATATCAACATAAATATTTCTCATTAAGGACCAAATGAGTATAATTGTAATGTCAATAAAAGTAACACTAGTGAATTAAAAAATAACATTGACGACATCGACAACGACAATAGTAATAGTAATAATATGTATAACAGTAATGATTTTTTTGTTAATAATAGTCAGGATATAAATAATAATAATGATAGTAGCAACAATATAGAGTAATGATAAAAATGATGGTAGTAGTAGCAATAGAGAGTAATGATAGAAGTGATAATAATAATTGATGGTGGCAATCACAGTGGTATTTGACGCATCAAATATATATAGAATATTAGTGATAATAACATTAGTGTCAATAACAACGATAATCGTCACAACATCAGTAGTAACAACAATTTTATTAGAGATGAAAATAATAATGATGATTGTGACGTCAGTAGTAACAACGATTTTATTGGAGATGAAAAACAATATTAATAGTGCTAGTGTAATAATAATACTTGTGAGAGTGAAGATAATAATTTCAAGTATGATTTTTTTACTAAGAAATAGAGATTAAAAAAAATGAAATTAATTATTATTCTAACTATAAAAATTTTAGTGTCTAATATTAAGTAAGACAATAATTATCTCCTACCCAAAGCTATCTAGCCTAAATTTGTATATATAGATTTATAGATAAGACAAGTAAATTAATTACTTTTAAGATCATCATTCTAATAACCAATTTGCCTTTGTGGTGCTCATTACCATCCCCTTCTTATTAAAAAGGTGAAATTTTGATTACTATTGCTCTTTTAATATACCATATTTGTAATACTTGGACCCGAAAAATTATTCGAGATAAAATTTTTATTTTTTAATTATTAATTTAAAATAATTAATTAATTTATCTTATTTTTATTTAAGTAGAATTTTGAGAAAAAATAAATTAAAAACGAGATTTAAAATAATTTTGGAAAAAAAAAGTGCAAATAGAAAAAGTTTGACCACATAAGACAATCCAATCAACAGTCTCGAAGGATGAACATTCAGATAGTTCAGAGTAGACAGAAAAGTTATGTGGACTTCCGGAGGAGGGATTTCGAATTTGAGAAAAGTGACCGAGTATTTCTTAAAGTCACTCATTTCAAATGGATCAGTAGGTTTGGTAAGAGAAAAAAATTAAATCCCCAGTTCATCGAACCATTTGAGATCTTAGACCAGATTGGTACGATCGCCTACAGACTAACACTACCTTCAGAGCTATTTAGGATTCATAATGTGTCCACGTATCTATGCTACATAAGTACAACCCGGACCCCTCACACATCCTATCCCACGAGTCCTTTTTACTATAGGAGGATCTATCCTATGAGGATCTATCATATGAGGATCTATCCCATGAGGAGGTATCGATAGTCATTATAGACTGAAACAGTAGAGTATTTCACAACTAAGAAATTCTATTCATCAATGTTATATGGCAGAACCATACGCACGAAGAGGCTACTTGGGAACTAGAATCATATTTCAGGCCTAGTATTCCCGGCTGTTCGACTGAGTAAGAGAGTGACCAATTTGAGAGACCAATTTTTTTTAAATGAGAGAGAGTTGTAATATTTGAGCCCGAAGAACAACCAGAGACAAAGTTTTTATTTTTGAATTATTAATTTAAAATAATATATTATTTTATTTTATTTTTATTTATGTGAAATTTTGAGAAAAATGAATTATGAACGAGATTGAAAATAATTTTAGAAAAATATGGTAAAAATTTAGGTTCTGAGAATGTTTTTGAAAGAAAAAATGAAAATAGGAAGTCAGTGTACACATAGAGAAAGTTTGGCCACATAGGACCCCCCAGTTAGCAGTTTCGATGAATTGAAGCGCACTGCGTGGCAAGACGCACTTACGTCGGTACCACACTGGCGATCTGCTTGTCCTGCGATTGGACGACTCAGGTTCGATCCCGCGTACGTTGATGGTTCGGATTCGTTTTCCCTTTAGGCGTGATCAGACGGTCGAGATCAATCGCGATAAACGATTCAAATCAATGCAGGATGGTTATAAATACTTTTGCATCACACGAGAACCTAAACCCTAGCCGTCAACCCTCACTGGAGAAAAAAAAACCAAACACCGGAGAATGAGGTCGACCGCCGCTGCACCGGAACCACTACTAACTGCCAAAAAAGGTAAAAAAAATTTCTATCAGCTTAAAATTCGATTTTGAGTACCTATGTGGCCAAATCAGAGCAAGATGGACGATAGGTGAGCCGAAACTCACAGACAAAGCCCCCGCAGAGTCACTGCAGCTAAAAGCTTAAAATTCTTTCGATGAGCCCATTCTCAATTCCCATTTCACGTAATTTTTCGATCATTGTATTCACTGTCTTTTTCTGTAAATGGTAGCCAAAGAAAAAACCTCAGCTGTGAAGGAGGAGCGGCAGAGCCGCTGCATCCGCAGGTCCCCTCCACCGGTAGGTTCGATTTGTTTGTAATTTTCTAACCAACTGAGGCTCCTAACGTGTTTTTCTGTAGGGACAACCAAAATCGGTTAGGACGAGGAGAACCACCATCGTGGGCGGCGAAGCGAGTGTTGGAGCACGACGACACCGCTGTGCCATAATCTCAAAATTGGCCAGAATGAGTTTTGGATACCGATTTTGAATTTTTTGAGGTATTTTTAGGTATATGATGAGTATTTAGAATTCCACAAAAAAAAATTCAAGGAACTCAATATCCGTTAGGAGGCGTAGTAGACAGCTCGATGTCTCAAAATACCGATTCGAGTAAGGATCCCTCACTCTATTTTCTATCATGGTAAATTGAGGCTTAACAATGTATAATTTTGTATTTTTGTAAAAAATTAGAAAACTCTAAAAATAATTACAAGTTACTAGTAGAACCGTAACTGATTAGTTCATAATTATTTTGGTTTCTTGTTTATTTTTCTGTACTGTTCTACTTATTTAATTTTATATAGTACATATTCTTAATTTATAGTTCAATAATCTTATCAACTTATCTGGTTATTTTGGTTATATACCGTCAACATGAATGTAATTTAATTGATATGTGAATGTGATATAAAATATTAGTATAAGTTTGTTAGTTGTTTGTTGGTAAATATCTATATGTGAAAGACTTACTAGTTACCTAATGAAAGGGCAGACAGGTCTGGTACCTAGAGAACCCTACTGTGAACATTATCTCAGTCGGACGGGACTAAGAAATCCCTTATCTGAAATGTTTGGGAGATATGGTTCATCCTCATATCAGACGGAGTATCGAGACGATGAAATATTTGGCACCCATTACTGTACGGAATATGAGACGGTCGATCAATCATAAAATTGGAAATGAGTCACGAGTAGAGGGACCCCCTAAAGACCCCTAGGGGCACCAGTAAATACGTACGAAATGAAAACTATTGTTTCTCGTTTTCTTATACGTGAAAGTAAAAAGTGATATGAATATGAGTTTTCATAGGTTATCTTTGAAAAACTCGTTATGGTAAGTATTTAATAAATATTTTCAAGTTTTAAATGTATTTAAATAAAGAAATGGCTCTATTAGTTATTTTTTTAATTTTTTTTACTAATCTTCAGTTTTTCGTATATGTGATTAGTGTGATATTCTTACTGAACTGGTGTAGCTCACTATTTCAGATCAAGATGACTAAGATCTAGATCCCGATCAGTAAGAGGGTTGTGAGTAGTTCACTGTGCAAACTTCATTCAAGTACTAGTAAAAGTTGTCTTAAGATGCTTAATTATTCGTTTATCGTTTTATTTATTTAATTTTCGTTTATCTTTTAGAATGAACATTCCTATAACTATATTCAATATTCAAAATTATTGTATAAGTAGTGTAAATCATAACTCTATTAATCGCTTTCGCATTTAATTTATGAATTTATTTTTTTTAAGTTCCGAGCATTCACAATATTTATTATAATTATTTAAAAAATAATTGTAATTACTTAATTAAATTAGTAAAATAATAACAATAGATTAATATTGTTAATTAAATGACTTTTGAAGGTAATTATTGAGAATTTGAGATTTTGGCGGAAAGCAATAGATGAGTGGATACACACTCTTTTAGGCCTGACAGGAAAACCTCCAAGGCCCACCGTCACCCACCTAACCATATCATTACACAATATGGACTACCTTTTTGTACCATATTCATATTTGAACATATAACCCCAAAAAAAAAAAAGAAAAAAAATTACCCTTTAAAAATTGTCTTTTATATTTTAATTATATGGTTATAATATACTTTTTTACCTTCAATATCTAATTATTTGCATAATTTTTTACCATATTTTACCCATTTATAATAACTAAATTGGTCAAGTAATGAATAATAAGAAATAATAAATAGTAATTAAAATAATAAAAATGTAAATCGATTTAATAAGTATTGATAATTCTAAATTAAAAAAATGCCCCTGAATTTTTTGGTATATATAAACATTATTTTAAAATTAAAAATTTTGAAGATAATTTATTTATTTATTTTTTGGAATTATTTTTAAGATAATCTTAAATATATAACAAATTAATCTAATCATATTTTACGGCCGATAAATATAAACGATAATCTCTCATTATCTTCCCACTTTATCTTTTTACATTTTCGAACTTTACGAGTCTGACGTGGCACTCTTAGGTTCAAGGGTCCCACATCACTACGCTTCTCAATATTGTTAAAATTTTAAGAGTATATTCTTTTTACGTAAAATTAACTTTATTTTTTTTAATAAAAATAAACAAAAATACGTTAGTTAAGATTTTAAATATTTCATAATTATAGAATTTATAAACAAATTATATATATTATTATATTAATTTTATTTTTGTATTATATATTTTAAATAAATAGTTATTTTTAATCCATAATTATTTTACCATATTAAATAAAAATATTTTTAAAATAAAAAAATAGACACATAACAATTTTCAGTATTACTTTTTTTTTTGTATATATGATAGAATATTTTATAGATTTTAAAATAAATTATACTTTTATGTGCATTTGGATATAATTTATATTTTAAAAATATTCTTGTTAAAATGAATAATTATTCTTATCTCATATTACACATAATTATGTTAATTTTCAGGAGTAATTGAATTAACACTTTAAATAAAAAAATTGTTAAATTTAACATATATTTTTTAGTTAATAATAAAATTTATTAAAAATTCTATGTGGAAAATGACATTTAAAATTTATTGAAGGTAATAATTATTATTTTCACTTTAGTAATATATAAATATATAAATTCAATTTATTTATATAATTAAAAAATTAATTCCTGTAGATTTTGTAATTGTATCTATCAAATTATTTTGATAAGATTGATCAGTAAAATAATTAGATATTTAAAAAAGTTTGAAAATTTTTAAAGTATCTTATCTTAAAAAGTTAATCAAATTTTTATCTTTAATTATCTTAATTACATATTCATAATCTTAAAAAACCAGTTTAAAAATTAATTAAATTACAAATTAAGTATTTCTGTAAATGACTTAGCCTATAAATATAAGGTACGAGCAGTCATTTGCACAACATGAGGAAATCACCTTTCTTCCTCCACTGATCGCCCTGGTGGGTATATAAAATTTGTCTTCTACACCTTTCGGAATTTCATACTCTCTCTCTCTCTCTCTCTCTCTCTCTCTCTGTAGACTGCAGCAGTTACCTTTTGATTCCTTCAAACAGAATAATTGTTTTCCTGATTAAAAGCTTTAGAAAATCATTTTTCAAGAAGATAGGATCTTTTCGGTTTCAGCGATAAAATTTTGCTGCCGAATTTTCTGGCAGATATTCTTGCACGACTGAGGATTTTTCTTTATGGGTCTTGTTTTTAGGGCTATAAAGGTTGAGAAAGTTCTTTACTTTTGGAGAAAGATGATGATGGGGATCGGTGAAGAGGATCGCTCTCAACGTCGATTTTAAGAGGCTCTGTCGTTGGTAAGGGAGTGTTTGTGGGTCATCGTTCTTTTCATTTTGACCTGTTCATGATTCTTTAATGGTTTGATTAGGGTTTTTCTGTTGGGTAAGAAATTAGAAAGTAGGCTGTTTTGGTTTTTCTTTTATTTTCTTTTTCACCCACCAAGTTCTTTTGTTTGTTTTCTTTTTCTTGTTTTAGTCTTTTTTTTTTTCTGGGTTTCATTAGTCTTGAGTTATGGAAAACGTGAGGTAATCTTCTTTCTTTGATGTTGAGCTAGGGTTTGGACCTGGATTTCTGAGAGATTAAAAGACTACACTGTTCAAGGAGCGAGTAGATACATTTGGCTAGTGGAGCAATTGACAAGGATATTGTAAGCCTAATCTAATTCTACTCATTTTACTTTCAACATTACATTTTGCATCATCTTGAATAGGCTCTGGTGAATAAATCATGACGTTGACTTTCTTTATGCGTATATACTTTTGTATCAATGGTATGTACTGATTTTAGTGGTAGCAGTGAGCTTTAGTTCTTTTACATATAGAATCAGATTGTTTCTCTTCTTGATAAGTGGCACTTTATTGTGTTGAAGTTTTTCTATGCAATCAGGTCGAGTATGATGTGTACATTTTTGTTCTAAATCTTGATTGAAATAACACAGATACTTTTTTATGCGAATACATGGGATTGGTTTTTCTAAGACTTAATAAGCCTAATTATTGGAGTATTTCACCAACAGTGTTGGGTCAGAATATTTATTTTGACTCTGCTTCACTGTTTCACTATCACTAGTGAACAATGATGGAAGAATTTCTTTATATTTATAGGAACAGGACACATAATTCACATGGATATATTATGATAGGTCACGGGGCCTGCTAGTGTGACCGGTTTTTCCAGCCTTGCCGGCCTATAGTGAGGCTAGTATAAGAGAACCTCCGATCTTTTAGAGATGAACTCTTTGAATTAATAGCTGTATAATTTATTTATGATAATAGATGTATTTACAGGGACGCTAATTGAATTAGATTCTTATTACAATTCTAGGAATCATAGTTCTAGTTTTGTTTCAAGTTCTAATCTAAATGTAATTATAGTTCTTGGAATCTTAATCTTAGTTTTTTTTCCCAATTTTTTATTCTAATTCTAATCTAAATAATTAATATAAATCTTTAACGAATTTGAACTTATTAGTTCCTTAAAGAAACTAGCTTCCTACTAGGCTCAAACTCTTTTTTGCTGCTTCCATTGGTCCCCCCACCCTATTATTTTCTGTTATTAAGTCTTAGGTTGCTTTAACATAGGTCTTCACATTTTCTCTTTCAATCATAGTATGGCGAAGAAGTGGACTCTAGAGGTACTCTGCTTGAGTTAAGGGATCAAATTGTATCAATTGTTTTATAGATTATTGTGCAAAGCTCTTTTACTATATAAGTCATTTTAATCAACCAAATTAAATTTAAAAAATAAAATTGTTTCTAAATTCTATGCTATTGGATTCAGTGGAGTAACATGTTCTATGAATAATATGTGAACATAATATGCGTAGAGAAATCTTTTCTTGGAAAACACCTCCACTTATTTAACCTGCTGTGTCTTTTATCTCCAATTTTTTGCCTACGATGGACCTGATTATAGGTAGGTCAAATAGATTTTTGATTGCTCAAACTTGAGTTTGTGAAAAATTCTGAACCTTTTTGATAGACATATTTAGGAATTCTTTTCCTCAAACATTTTGAAAAGTTTTCACTGAATCTGTTTCATTAACTTGTATGAAAATAATAAATTCTTGACAAGACAGAATGTTATAGG